AATTTTCTTACAATTCGACAGGTATTTAAAATTGCGGCTTTTTGGAGTATAATATATGTTGAGTCTTTCAGGTCTATTAATTTGAGGCTATTGTGGAGATGGTTGGGTATAACGCCCGTGGTGGAGACGACTATGGGTACTATATAAACTTTATTTTGTCTCCAAATTCTGGTCACTTCTTCTTTAAGCTCTGCATATTTGCTTATCTTCTCGCCTATTGTTTTTTGTAAGTTATGTGTGTTGGGTATTGCAATATCTATTAGGTAGATTATTTTACTTACTTTATCGTGTAGTGTTATGTCTGGTCTATTATAGTGAATGGTCCTATTGGTAAGTATTGCGCGGTCGTAGTAGAGTTTGTGTGTAGGATTTTCTAAAACTGTGTGTGGCGTATATTTGTAGTAGGGTGTGTTTGTGTCTTGTATAAGTTTATGTTTGAGTGCTAGTTTTTGATGAATGATGTTTGCTACTTGGTTGTGTCTGTGAGTGTAGTCTGTCTGTGTGAGAGTTGTACATGCCCCTGTTATGTGTTGTATTGTCTCTGGTTGGGTGAAGCACTTACGGCATTTGTCGTTGGTTACTGTGGGGTCTTTAATGACATATTTCCTGTAGTTTTTAGTGTTGATGATCTGGTCTTGTATAGCGATGATAAACCCTTCAGTTTCCGGGAATAGGTTGCCAATTTTAAGCCATTTATTTGATGCTACTGAATCTACATGTGGTTGTTCCAGGTCATGTGGGTGTCGTCCGTGTAGGACTTTCTTTTTCCAGTCCTCTAACTTTTGTTTTTGTGGGTCATTAGTGTTATTGTGTTGTGTATCTGTTTGTTCATTTAGGTTAAGTGGAGTGTAGTTAAAATCATTTAGGGCTACGGCTTTATGGATATCACTAGTGTGAGATTTATTGTGAAAGAATGTTTTGAGGCTACTAATTTGTTTCTGCCAAAGGTGATGAATGTCTATTAGGCCTCTCCCTCCATTTTGTCGTTTTATTGTGAGTCTTTCTATTGCGGATTTAGGGTGTAAATTATTGTGTTTTGTAAGTGTGGTGCGTGTGGTTCTTTCTATTTGCTGGATGTCAGTTTTAGACCATTTAATCACTCCAAACGAGTAGGTTAATATTGGGATCGCGTAGCTATTTAATGCTTTAATTAGATGTTTTCCAGCGAGATGTGTTTTGCATACTGCGGTTACTCTCCGTTTATATTCCGTATTCAGTGTGTGTTTAATTGCTGTATGGTCTAGTCCTTTGAGTTGTTTGTATCCTAAATATTTATATAGATCTTTCGGTTCCATAGCAGTGATTGTATCAGTAGTTAATTGTATAGTCGCCTGGTTTTATTTTGCCTCTTATTATGTGTAGTGTTTTGCATTTATCTAGTCCAAACTGCATGTTGATGTCTTTACTAAATTCTGTTATAGTGTCTATTAATTTTTTCATTTCTTTTTCTGTTTTTGAGTATAATTTAATGTCATCCATATATATGAGGTGTGAGATAGTGATATCTTCTGTGGTGTTGTGTTTGAGTCTATATCCGGCTTCGCACTGATGCAGTAGGTGAGATAGAGGGTTCAGTGCGAGGCAGAACCATAGAGGACTCAGGGAGTCACCTTGATAAATACCTTTCCTAATAAATATCTGCCGAGTTCTTACGATATTGTCGTAGTAATTCAATTGGAGTGTAGTTTTCCAGCGGGACATGATATGATGTAAGAAGTGTATTATTTTTGGGTTTATTTTGTATATTCGTAATACTTGAATTAACCAAGAGTGTGGAATACTATCAAAAGCTTTTTTGTAATCTATGTAGGTACAATGAATGTTTCTATTTTTTGTGGCAGCATGTTTGTGGACTATTGAATCTATAATTAATTGTTCCTTGCACCCCATGTGGCCTCGTCTGCACTCTTTTTGTTCTTCTGCTATTATGTTGTGGTTTTCTATGTGTTTATTGATTTTAGCTGTGATTACTGAGGTTAGGATCTTGTATATTGTCGGTAGGCAAGTAATTGGTCTGTATTGGGACGGTTGTGGAGAGTATTGAGACTTCGGTAACATGTAAGTTATTCCTGTTGCAATAAATTCAGGTACATTTTGTTGTCCTAAAATTATGTCTGTTAAGTTTTTAGCGATAATTTTGTGTAATGAGTCTAGTTTTTTGTACCAGTAATTATGAACTTTATCAATGCCAGGGGATTTCCAGTTGTGTAGTTTTGCTGTAATACTATTTATATCAGATTCAGATATCTCTATGAATTCCATTTCTTCTAGTGCGCTCCACTTAGATTTTTCATCTGCTATCCAACCAGCTTTATCATTATGCTGCACTTGTTCTTCCCATACACTTGACCAGAATGTTTCCAATTGTTCTGATGTTGGTAGTTCGATGTTGGTGTCAGTTGTTACGTCTATTTGTGGTTTCTGTAAATTTCTATAAAAGTGCTTTTCGTTAGTAGCAAACATGGCGTTATCATTTTTGCGTTCTTGTGCCTTCTTGTATCTTCTCAGCCTATGGACTTTTAGCGCGAGCTTCTGTTTTAAAGTATCTAAGAATTCTTCGGGTTTTCTATTGTCGTTTTCATGTCTCGTGTGGGTGGCCATGTTCTTAAATATTGCCTCGACTCTTTTGACTACTTTGTTAGATCTGTTATTGTTGATATATTGTGTTAGTCTACCGCAATCAGCTCGCAATTTTTCTATATCTCTTTCGAGTCTCTGTTGCCAAGCTGGTTTGCTTATGACTTTTGGTCTTGTGCTACCTGTGTATTCTGTTATTTTATAATTAAGTTCTTCAGAAATGACTAACGCTGTGCAATATATCAATGTGTGTACATCTAGAAGTTGTGTGTCTTCGGATATATATTGGTTTAGTATGATACGATTAAATAAATGTACTAGGTAAGAGAGTTTTGGGGTGTATTTAAGCTTGGGTAGTTTTGGGCGAGCTGCTGGATCCATACCTGAATATTGAATTAGAGCGGTTTTCAGTTTGTCGTGTATTTCTTGGATGTACGTTTCTGATAACTGATTTTGATCGAGATTTCCTAAAGTCTCAATATCATTTTCTATCATTAGGGTTATGCTCTCGGTTTGTGTGGATATGTTCGATCTATGTATACTTTGTGAGTATGCTTGTGATTGATTGTAAGATTGAGATTGTGTGTTATGTTGCATTTGAGAGAGTGATTGTGTTGGTATTTGTAGAGCATTTTCATTTGGTGTATGCGTTTCTGGAATAGGATTTTGGTTTAAATCTTGCAACTGTGCACGTACTTCTTCTTTTAGTTGATCTATTACTTCTTGAGGTAAAAGTTTATTTCTTACTATTGTTCTTCTTTGATCGGAAATACGTTGTTCTGTAACACTAATTTCTGGGTATTGTCTTGTGAAACGTTCATGCAATTGCTGTCTGTATGTCGTCATGTCGGTCTCTAATTTGGTGATGTGGAAGTAGGTTCGCATGATAAATATGTTTACTTCCTTACTCCATCTCATGCGAACTCTTGCTTTTCCAGCCTTGGTGGACGCGGGTAAGAAGGTAGATACCCCCCGCGCAGCATTCAAGGTCGAAGTGGGTGGAACTGTATTTAAACTAATGATGGAGGATGATGAAAGTGTTGGTGACGATAGTATGGATGGTCTTGAGGGTGTGTATGATACTGTGCTTGTACTATACTGTTCTACAGGAGTGTCCGTCCTGTCCGTCAGTCTGTCACCATCGTCAATGATTTCGGCTGTAGCATCTTTGTCGGTGGGAGCCCGCCTGTTCAACTCCTCACCGCTGACGGTTCGCATGCTGAGACACCCAGCGTCAGCTCCAGGTGCGCCCCGGCGATCGCCCCCGGGCAGCGGCCCTATACGTTTACTTTTAGAACGAGTCTCCATTTTTTATGGGTTTCCAGAGCCACGTTAGCCACGCCAGTAATTTCTCATTCGTGTGTCCGCCCCCACGTGATTAGATGGTCAATCAGGACGTGTGGTTGTTTAGGGGGCTTATTATTATTATTATGGGGTATTTGTATAGTTTTCTCATCTGGTTGGGCTGTATAAATATATAATTGTAAATGAAAATTATATTATTATTATTATTATTATTATTATTATTATTACGAGTTGCACTAAATACACCAAAATTATTAATTTTGAAAATGCTTATTTCAATACAAATCAAAACACAGACTATCTAGCTTATTAGAATTAGTATTATTAGTAGCCTTTATTTTACACAAATAAATTTTTACTTTAAATTGATAAGTTGTTTCATTATATTTTTTATTATTTATATGTCGCTATTAGCGCGAAAGGCCTCCCCCAAATTATCCCAATCTTTTCTACTCTGGGCTGGTCTATGCCAGTATTTGTCAAAATTCGAGAGTTCGTCCCGCCATCTCCTTTTTGGTCTCCTTTTTTTCCTTCTTTTGTCCATCGGGATCCACTCTGTAATTGTTTTAGTCCACCTATCATTTGGTATTGATATAGTCTGCAGAGATGTCTATTACCGCAGAGATATCTATAGTCTGCAGAGATAAAGCTCAATTAAATAAACTAATAGTGTATTTAATTGAGCTTTAGTAGGACTCCATGTTTGTGATACCATAGGTTTAGGTAGGTAGGATGGCGGTGTTAAATGTCTTACTTTTAAGTTTAATGCATAGGTTATTTTTCATAATAAATTTTAGGCTCCAAAATTTTTTCCATGACTTGTGTATTCTTTGTTCTATCACCATATCTTGGTTGTTTTTCAATGACATGACTTGTCCGAGATATGTAAAGTCTTCTACATAATCCAGTAGGGTTCCTCGAAGTCTAACAGGTTTCTGCTCCCCATTAGTCATGATCTTGCATTTTTACCTATTCATTTCCAAGCCTGTTTCTCTACACTTACTTTCAAATTCCCTGAGCATATCTTCTAAGACCTCCGTGGTCTCAGCAAAGATAATGACATCATCTGCAAACCTCAAATTGTTTAGGTATCTTCCGTTTATTCTTAATCCTTTATTTTACCAAGACATATTTCTGAAAATGTTCTCCGAAACTTCATTGAAGAGAATTGGTGTAATCGGGTCACCCTGTTTGACACCCTTTGGTTCCCCCATTTGGTCTGTTCTTATTCTTGCCTTGCTGTTTCTATAAATATATTTTAGGATATTTATATATTTTTGATCAACACCTTTGGTAAAGTCAATGAAAGTCAGATATACTGTGTAGCCATATTCCATACATTTCTCTATAATTTGGGTGACTGAGCGTATGTGATCCATTATGCTGAATGTTGGTCTGAATCCCGCTTGTTCCACAGATTGCTGTTCGTCTAAAGTTTTCTCTATTCTTCTTCGCAAAACTATCATAAATAATTTATACAAGCCCGAGGAGAGATTTATGGGTCTATAATTATCTAGGTTATCCTTGCTTCCCTTTTTGTGTAATATTGTTATGTTTGATACATGCCACTGTTTTGGTACGACTTCTTCTTTCAAAATATTGTTGAATAAATGTTTGATGACTTTATGTAACTCATAGCTGGAGTATTTTATAATTTCGTTATAGATATCATCTGGGCCCGAAGCTTTTTCATTTTTGAGTTTTGATATCGCTGAAATTATCTCGCCAACCATGAATGGTTCAACATCTTTACACTGTTTTTTCTCGTAGGTACTCGGATCATAGTTGACATTGGTATATAGTGTTTTGAAATACTTTGTTGCTGTGTTTACAATTTCCTTTCTCATCTCAAATTTTTTCCCCTCATGTTTTAAGGTGGGTATTAGTTCGTTGCCGATAGACATAATTTTTTCGGCTCGCTTTATCGCACAGTTTTCTGGTTGAGTTTTGAGTTGGTTTTGGGTTTAGTTTATTGAGTTTTTTGAGGTTTCCGGTACTGTTGTCGATTGCTTGTTATTTAGGGAAGTCCTTGGTATTGAAGATGTTCTTGATCTAGACAAAGTTCAGTTCAACATATTATTGGTCTTTGATATTTCTTTTGTATTTGCTATAAGCAAATTTTGAGTAGTGCTTTTTAAAATGTTATTTACATTAACTCTTTTTTGTGATGGAGATCTCGGTGAACCCGATGTCCCTCTTTTTCTTTTTTCACCAAGTGTGCTGTCCGGCTTATTCATTATTACTTTGTTTCCTTTTATGAAGGCTTTATTTCCCTTCTTCCATTCTAGTTCTACCTTTGGTTGTAATTGTTTACGTAGTTCTAGTTCTTCTTTGGAGTAATCTTGCTTTAATATATATTCCCTGGGGTAAGTTTTGTTTTAAGACGCATTTTGAATCCTAATCGAGGGTAAATGTAAACGTCTATGGGCCACAGTACCAACTTACTATCAGGTGCACTGTTTGCTTATTGGTCAACCTTATCCTAATAAAAAGTAATAAAAGAGTGGGCTAATAGCGGCGTCTTTTTTGTTGTTCACAAAAGGCGGAGGCGATGTTAGGCGGCTGATGCAACTGGCGATAGCGGCTAGCGTGCTCTGAACAAGCGTCGTATTTTTTAGTATAAGTTGTTTTTTCCATGATGTTGTAAAGCTTACTACCACAGAACGGTTTTTGTTGTAAGCTCTTCCTATTCTCAGGATTTTGCTAATCTCTTGACTGCTCAACTGGGTTCCTGCTTCTACAGTAACATCTTTAATGTAGTCTATTAATTCGCTCTCTTTTTTCCCTTTCTTCTCTAATCCAAAGAAAACCAAGTTTTGTCCTCGCTGTTCTCTTTCTATGGTACTTAATTTTTTCTCCAGTGTTAAGACTTTATTTTTAAGTAGAGAATTTTCTTCCATGATAGTTTTCAATTTCTCATCCAATGCTTCCATAACATTTCTGTCACCGATGTTGTTATGAGCAATGTTTGTTGTTCGAGCTTTTCATCTATTTTTGATAATAATAGTTCCATACTTTTTTCCATTTTGTTGGTAATTTTGATTCTCTAGTAGCAACACTGAATTGGCTTCAAGAAAGTTTTAATTCACTTGTAACACTAAAACTTCACTGTAAATGTCAGTTAGTGATTGGTTATGTTGGTAATAGGGATAACACTCTATTTACTCTATGATTATAACCGCTGTTCACAATTTTAGGATATGTTGTTTAGTGTTAATTGCAGATTTTTCGCAAGACTAACAATACTTGCACTGTGATCACTTCACTTAACTTTATATCAATGCTCTATTTTAAGGCAGTTGCTTCAAAAATACGTGATTATCCACTTTTTACACTATTTTAACGAAAATATTCACGGAAGACTTTGATGTACATGTTTACGATACAATAGCCGGAACCGGAACTATCTAGCTTACAAACTAATAAATGTGATCAAGATGGCACTACTCTCTAACACTCAAATTAAGCCGCTCTCTGTTTGTAGGAGAGTTAAGAAGCCGTGGATATCCTTAGGGGCACTGCGATATATATATATATCTGTTCTACCTAGTATTTAAAAAAATTGGAAAAACATATTAATCAATAGACTTATTAAATATTACATAAATATAACATTTTATTTAACTCTCAATTCGGGTTAAGGACGGGCCACACAAGATGCTGTTATAAAACTGACAACTGAGATTGTAACGTTGATAAAGGAGTCAAGTGCTTAACAATATTTTTAGACCTAAAAAAAGCATTTGATATCGTTACCGTCCCTGTCCTACTGCACGGGCTGGAAGCTATCGGTACAGCTTTTTGCCTTTTTGAAAGTTACTTATGGAACCGGACACAGGAGATTAAAACTAATGATCTGTTTAGCGAGGGAGAAAGCGTACTTTTCGGAGTCCCACAAGGCAGCGTGCTTGGCCCGACACTATTGCTGATATACATAAATGATCTATATAACATTCGGAGCAGTGACGGGCGGATTTTCTATTATGCTGATGACACCGCAGCCAAACGCTAGTCTATACTGGGGTCTCCTGGACTGCCGTACAAGCTGCCGCTGAACATGGTTTGGCTGAAATAGCTGGCTGGTTTAACGCAAACTCCCTAACTCTCAATACCGCTAAAACGAACCTGTTTTACCCCATCACAGAGATCACAACCGGGGGACGACTTTAGGGTCAGGGTTCATAGGTGTGGCGAACCGTTTGTTTTTTGGAACACAGATTGTCGTGGCACTCCCACATTGAAATAATTATGACTAGGGTCAGGAAACTCACTTGGATTTTCAAAAATCTGAGTCAAGTTATGCCAGCGTAATTAAGAAAGGTATACATTGCTCTTGCACAATCTGTCATAACGTACTGTATATCTTTATATATAAAAATTACGTGTCACATTGTTTGTCCGCGATGAACTCCTCAACTATTGAACTGATTTTAATAAAATTTTGCACACTGTTTGCAGTTTGGTCTGTATTGAGAAACAATAAACAATTTATTAACTTATTATGTACCGCGTATATTTATTATTATTTGTTTTAACTTTTAATTACTTTCCACTGACAATGTACTGTAATATACTAGCTCGCCAGGGAGACATTGTTCTGCCCTCTCCAACGACCTTTTGTCCTAAAAAAAATCCTTAAATCGTAACAAAAAATATTAAGGGTCATTTATCGGGATAAAAACTATCCTATCTCTCAAGTTGGACCAAACTGAACGCAGTGTGCAAAATTTTATTGAAATCAGTTCAGTAGTTTAGGAGTCCATCGCGGACAAACAACGTGACACGTAATTTTTATATATAAAGATTATATTGTATAACTAACTACCTGCCCAGCTAAAGTTAATTGTCAAAGACTATGTATTTAACCAAATTTTCAATTTCCCAAAAAAAGTTTTTTGGATTATATATAGCCTAGATCACTCCGGGCATTGCTTCTCTATCTGTTCGTCAAGTTTTATTACAATCGTTTCAACCATTCCGAATCTTATTCCGGATAGGCAGACATTTTTTTAATAATAATAATAAAAGATTAAAAACAATACAAGAAAAGAGAAGATGAAGAGCGACACAGCCTGTATATTATGCTTAGTGGTTATAGATTGACTCTAAGGAAAAACTTCTAAGAAACTAGGAAAATTGATGAGTTTTAAGTAATTTAATTATTAAATGCTATAGGTATATTAAATTTATTATATAATAGAATAAAAACTATAATAATATAAAAAAAAACTAAGACTAGAAACTTAATTATCATATAGTTCTACTCCCCGCGGTATCGTGCCAAGAACGCTGGCTGCGTTTCCCCGCTGAACGGCTATACTAAGCCTTTGAGCGAGAAAAGAACCAGCCCTCTTATCACTAGCTGCAACGACCAGCTGCGGATAGAGTTCCTTTAGGAACATCACCGCACGTGGATCCCACGGACCGATAGTCTCTACAGCAAATGGCACAAATATGTAGTCATCTCTCAGAGACTCATATTTGCGCCACTTATTTAGTTCAGCTGCTTCTCATGCCGCCCCGGCCCTAAACGAGGTGATAAGGTTTTAAGGGATTTAATGAAAAATAAATCAAAAGAGTATAGTTCTAAATTTATTTGTAGCAGCGTTTCTTAACGTAAGAACGTAAAACTTTAAACGTGAAACTTAGTATTTTCTTTAAAGTCAAAACAATATAAGCCTTTGTGAACGTTGCCGGTGAATCCTTTACAAATTTATATTTCAAATTTAGCACGAGCTTTAAAAAGTACCTTCACTTTGTGTATATTTTTAGCAGTCAGTTACAGTTCTATGAATTGAACAGTGCCGAAATGACATGTAACGTGGTTAACGCTGAAAATTACATTATTCACTAAGAAAGTTTCCTTTATTATCTCACCGTCACTTATATTTTACCAACATACATACATACTAAATGTAACAGAGCATTGAAATCGATTTTGAAATAAGACACGTTATAATATGTCCCATGTTTATGTGGGGCTTATAACAAAAATTAATATGCCCACTGTCTTACTTGCCTAGATTGTCGTTAAAAACGACTAATGTTATATTAGGGTTGTGATTGTCTAGGCATTGGGCTAGCCAACTGTCACTTTTATAACTATTTTTCATTTATATACCAATATTATTTGGCTAAACGTGGTTCGAGTAGTTCGCTCTTTAGACACTGCCTACCCCCTCTAACACTGACCTAAGTGGTGTGAGCGTTTTAATTTTCACTCGTCCCTTTCTACTCTTGTCTCTAACAGAAACAGAAATATGTCACATCATTAAATTTCATCCGAAATTTATCCAAATAAAGTATAATGTTTTTTTTTTAATAATTTATCTTTTGTTCTAAGACTTCGAAGCATATTGTTAATTACACTATCGCAATTTTTTTTAATTTCTAATTTTTTTAATTATTAAATCAATTTTTATAAGACAGGAATATATAAGTCATTGAAATAATTAACGTTAATAAAAATAATGTTTTATATTTTGACACAGAATCAATAAATTACAATCAATCAAAAAATAAAGTCAATGTCGCGAAATTGTTGGAGGATTATTTTTTCATTTTTGCAGCAGCTCTTTTTAAGTTTTTTTTACAAATTTATCTCTTGGTTCTGAATTATTTTTTTCGTTGTTGCATAAATTTCACAATAGTTGCGATCAGTAATCTACACCCCATGACGGTATTCTACAAATAATATGAACATTTCGTCTACATGAGTAACACGAGTGTGTTTCCCTACATTTAGTTTACAATTACTATTATTTCACTAGATTATTCTAGTAAGTTACGTATATTACTATATTGTGCTCGTATCATAGTTATAGTCCTAGTAAAATAGTCATGAACCGCTGTCACATAACTATATTACGGTATATAGTTATAATACATAGGTCAGGTTAGCGAC